ACCCACCAATGACTATTCCACCGTCACAAACGCCGTACCGGAACGAAGATTACTCGACCCTCGTCAAGCAGCGGTGTGGACCGTTTAATGTTATTGGTATTCACGCCGGAAGTTTTATTGTCGTACTCAAACGTGAGTTTTTGCCCTTTCCGGTTTGATTTACCGTATATCGCCTGGCGTCGGATAATTGTATATGGATCGCTCCACGTATATGATGCATATAATAATATATGTATATATGTATATGGGTGCCCGCTCGGCGATATTATATTATTGTTTGTCGCGCGCGATCGGTTTGGGGTGGAAAATGGTAAAAAAAAAAAATAATAACATAACACTATCGACTCGACGTTTTTCCGCTACTCGTAAAAAACGACACTTGCGGACATCCCCGCGTGGTCGTCCATCCACCCTCGCGACTTGTATATTATTATACACATTACAATAATATGGCACCGCCGGGCCGCTGCAACTCGCGTATGTATTATAATTTATAATATATAATATTATGTATACTACAATACGGAGGTTTTGCGTTGTTGATAACGGCGGTGGATGTTAACCGAGAAAACAATATTATAATATATCACATAATTTATATGTTTGGCCGCGGCGACGACGGTCGGGTGCAGGGAACGAAAAATGTGTCACGGTGTTTAATAGCTACCACGGGACCCGCAATAATAATAATGTAACAGCTCTGGCGAGCTTAGCGTATCCGCCATGATACGACTACACTATATGTAATTATAATATATATATAACGTTGTTGAGATACGTTCAAATACAAAATGTCTAAATAATATTATTATGGGGCCGGAGTGGTGCAGTGGTCAGGCAGTTGATTGCGACTCACGCAATATTATCGGTTCGATTCATAGMAAAGTGCAAAAAACTGCGATCACCAATTTCTCGTGATGCTGTCGTCCGATTGCGTCATCCGGTTTCCGGCTATTAGGTCCCACTCCACTGGGAGTGAAAACCGCACACGTCTGCTTTGGAGAGAAGGGGGTAGTGACGGTATAGTGTCATGTATGTATAGTGATATGCACATAGGTAAATAGATCACATGATCGCTTCCTACTATTATACTCACTTGTGATATGCATCGACAAAGACCTCAAGGTCGTTTCAATTATATGAACAAATACAGAGAAAAAAAATAATTATTATATTAATAAGTACACATATTGTATTTGCATAAGTACAATATGCAGGACGCGCTGCCGCCTTCGACTCGATAGGTACCTAATATTATCCTGCAGGACGGCGATAAGGACGACGCACATTCACCACCGTTATACGCACTAGCTGTTTGTGTAATTATTGCGGTTATTATTATCACTGTGATTAAAATTATTACTCTTTTTTGAAAAAAATTGGTCTCCCGATGGTTGTGTGGCGAATTTGTGAGTTAGGGAGTATATATATGTACCCATCGACCACTATAATTAATGTATTTTCATCACCGACCGCGATGACTAAATTTGAAATTTAGACCAGCGATTTCCAAAATTTTACAACACCACGGCTGCTTCGCTGCTTTAGGAAAAAGTTTCGTGAATCGTGGAACCATTGTGTAGAAGAATAGACCTTAAACTCATAGACCAGCCCACCCGATACCAAATGTATTGATATAGTCGCATGCCGACATGGCGCAGTGATGCAGCCCGTTTAATATATATATACATAATAATATATATAAAAATATATTGTCCCGTATCCAGGGGCGTATTTTGACTTACTTCTAGGGGGGGTGACTCAAATTTTTTTCTTTAATTCAAGCTCAAATTTTACAAGTGGAAATGCGTGGTCGTGAAATGGATATAATATACAGTAATAACGGCATTAACTACGATTTATGGTATAACAACAATAGGTTCTTAAATCATGTTATTATATGTAATAATAAAATAATAATAATAGAAATCTGTGGATATTGTATCTAAGTATTCTAAGTATCTGGTCTTCTATATAAATAATTTTTATACGTTATCATTGTTATTATTATATTAAACAATTTTAACTGTGTATTTCACATATTATAATCGATTCCTTAAATACGGATTCAGGGGGGGGGGTCGATCGCCCCCTTAGCTCCCCCTTAAATACGCCCATGCCAGTATCAGAGAAACTGAGTGACTGTAATCGAAAAGCGCCACCTATCTATTGACACGGTGTAAACGTGAAGGGGGTCGGTCTATGAGTAAAAGGTCTACGGTAGAACCAATATTTTCTAGCAATATTATACTAGGTAGTAAATATTATTTTGATGAAGTTCATTTTCCWAGAATAATATGAAATAACTTTCTAAATATWCACAAGCATATTATATAATGTGCCGGAACCACTTTGAACTGCACACTTCAGGGATCGCTGATGTACACAATGTTAAAGGTGTATAATTTATTAATTTTTTCGTCATGCCCAGTATTGTACGAAAAACTGCATCTCAAAACAAAATACTTAAATAGTTATCCGACATCTGTGGATAATTTTTCGAATAAAGTTCATAAAGATAATAATTTTAAGATACCTACCTGTATTCCATATTGTTCCTATAGAATAATCTTAATCTAAACGTCCGCTTTACTTTATTGCTTAAAAGTTGAGCAACTATATGTCTATATATTTTTGTTAGGTAGAACAAAAGTTTAGATCTCATTACATTTTTGTGAATTTCAGATTATTAAGAACGATAACTTTCTTACATTACTACTTGTTCATTATATTTATTACATGGTAATATTATAATATTATGATATTATAGAAATGCATACCTAATGAATAAACATAATTTCTTATGTTTATTAAACATAAATATAGATATAGATAATATATTTTATACAATACAATAAATTGACGAAATTGTTTACTAAAATGTTTTAACTTTCATCAAATAATATGCCATTCATTAATATATTTGAATGTGCCTATACCTAGAAAAAGATATAAAAATAATT